CATTCCAAAAAGTCCAACATGTCTTGGCTGTTAACCGTTATGATGATGATGATGATGTTTTAATGTGATGAAGTCTCGCAATTTGGGATGATATTGTCACAATGGTCATGCATGCTGCTTCTTTTCTAACAAATGTTTCGCAGGGACGTCAGAGAGCCAAACAATGCAGACAGGCGGCCAAGGAAGCAGGTACAGTATGACTCAGAAACAAGTCAGATCTCTAGAATATCTATTTACAACTGCACACATCTGAATTAGACTGTTTCATTACTTGTTTCTGTACTGCTACTGATTTTATATTTTGTGTTTGTTTCCGTATTAACTAATCTCTCACAGAGAAACTTTACTCAACCAATATTGTTCAGCTAGAGAGTGTTCGCCAGGACTCGGAGGAAACACACAAAAGCACATGTGAGGTATGGACTATTTTCTTACATTACATTACATTTCACTTGTTAGACGCTTTTATCCAAAGCGACTTTGGATAAAAAAAAAACATGACATGCATTGCTGTCTGAATAACCACACAAACTAGACTATTCACAGACGAGGAAACACACTTTCTGGCATAGGGCTAAATATAGAACAAACCCACAACCACGCAGTAACACACTTCATCATACCGAGATTACCGACTTAAGTACTGTTAGCTTTTTCAAGGTGCATTGCAAACAGGTGGCACATATCGATCCCTAATACATTTAGAGGATACTGCAAAGTGTGCAGCAATGCAGCATAAAAACATTTAAGGTGAGGGAAACGAAGAGTAAGAAAATAATCTGACTAAGTTACTGATATGATGAACCTGGAAATGGTCAAGTGGATATACAGTATGTGGTGTGTATATGTCTCTCAGGTGTTCCAGCAGCTGGAAGGAGATCGCATCAGCATGCTCAGGTGTGCTCTCTGGGACCACTGCAATCACTTCTCCATGCAGTGTGTCAAAGATGATGAGGTAAGCTCTTTATTTTTTTTAAATGACCACAGACATGACTTAACCTTCAAGGATCAGCTTAGAGTGAGAGTCTCACTTCAATGCTTGTTTTAGTACAGGCTTGTGTGCAAATTATATATGTCTGGCAAGTTATCCATTTAGCGGCATTAGCATGTTCTTAGTGCACATTATAATAGCTTGCCCACCAAACCTGAATCTTAACCATGAAGTGGTATTGCTCAAGGCTAACATAAACTGGTGAACATGGTGAAAACATTATACCAGCTAAATGTTAACATGTTAGCATATAGATGAGTACAGGCCCAATGTAAGCAGTAAATATGTAAACTCTCTCTTTGAAGCAAGGTCAGAGTGCGGGTTTCTGGCAAAATGTTCACCTACTTCCAAGGTGCATGAAGAAGTGAAAACCTTTCTTTGACACCCTAATGAAAGCCACAAGCTGAAACACATTGGCCTCACAATAACGATGTTTCTGTATATACTACAAACCTTGCAGAAGGGGTTTCACTTCTTTAAGAGAGCAAACGGCACAAAATGCCATCCATCGATGAATGATTTAGCAAAAGCATCTTTTGTACAAGCCAAGTTTCTTCCTCCATTATTTTTGTTCTCGTTTTAAAATCAGTTTTACGAGGAGGTGAGGAAGCTACTGGAGTCGTGCGACATCACCACAGACAACAACTACTTCATAGGGATGAGAAGCACCGGAACGCGGCCTCCAGGTAAGAGGCCACAACACTTTTAGATTGTTCTTCCCTTTCGGAGGAACCGACAAACTCAGGGAGAGAAGTGAAAAAGAATGCCATTACAAATTCACTTAAATGAGCAACTTCTCTTTTCCTTGAACAGAGCCCATATTGTTTGAAAGCTACTACCAGACACAGAAGTCAGGAGACAGCAATGGCCAAGCTCACTTCGCAGGAGGAGAAGAAGACATGATGATGAGGTCTGACAATATCCCCATTTGAGCTAGCATTGTTACTGGTATAAAGCATGAATACTTCCAGGTTGTGGCAGAAAGAACATGCTGTCTTCATCTTTACTCAACCTTAACCCTTTCTATAAACCCATTTGTGTCTTTATCCTTAATATCTCCCCTCACCTCAATCCCTCAGGTGCTCTGATCCTCTGCTCGGGAGTTCTGTGAACATCAGGTTCGACAATCTTGAAAACCCACATTCAGCACCGGCACCTTTCGGTGGGGGTAAGTACTGAATTCACTTGTTATATCTATCTCGCACCATGAGTAAAGAAGATTTTAGCCAACTTGTGCTCTTATAGTGGAATATAGATACATATGAAATAAAATGTGAAAAAGTATGAAAGGCATGAAAACATTTCCCTTTCCTTCGTCGTATTGAACCTATTGCATGTGCTTTCAAAGCGCTATACACTCTATGGATGCAGAGAATGCAATGTATTGTTTATGTCAAGTTTTAATACCTAAATAAGTAATGCATTTAATTTGCTATTGCTTTCTTTCCCTCTGACTTCAGCTGTGGAATCAGACGGAGGATATGCAGAGCTGCCAGGCCTCCTGGGTGCAGCATCGTTGCCAACAGTCCCAGCTGATGACGACACATGCTACATTGCGCTTCATGAATATGTAGCAAAGGTGATTACTATAAACACAATATAAATGTTATTTACAATGCTTAGCCGTAGCTTGACATGAAACCAAAACTGTCAATAGCAGAGTAACATTACTTTGATTGGACAATATGCTAAAAAGATGTAGGTATTAAGGTATGAGAATTCATAGCTCTATGCTTGATGGTGTCATCCTTTTTAACTATTTGTCATCTTTGTCTATATTCATCGATCAGGAAGAGGATGAATTGTCTGTCAGTAGAGGGGAACTGATCCGAGTGTTGGAACAAGGAGAAGATGGCTGGTGGACAGCAGAGAAGAACGGGAAGACTGGACTGGTGCCAGGAAACTATCTGGGCAAAAGCTGAACCCAAAACACACAAACAAACAAACACAAACAAGAGCATGCAGCCAAACACACACAGGTCAATTACAACCAAACATACAGTGTCACAGCAAAACACTTTTGCAACGTCAAAAAGCATGAAAATAGACACAACAACAGACACACACCGACACACATACAAAGCTTCCTAAATTAGCACCGATGTCCAAAATACTGTTCTTGTCACTTGCTGAACATTAACTTAACACCTATACTGTAGCATCATTTTGTAGGTAGTAGACCGCAATCCCTTGCTCAGCTCTGAAGATGTCTTGACTGATGAGTGTAACTATTATTTATTTAAGATTAGGATCTTTATTTAAGATCCCTTATTAACCGAAGGGATTTGTAAACATAAGAGTATACAACATTGTAACCATGATACCTCATGTGCTGTTGATCCAGGTCTTTATGCTCTCCAATACTGTGCACAGTGCGTGTCATAAAATCAGGTGTTGCAATCTTGTATGAAACCTTTTTAGCTTCGAAAGACATTGCTCTGTGTCATATTTTCAACGTGAGTCTGAAGCACAAACAACAACTAGTTGCCAAAAGGAAAAAAACTATTATTGTGCCAATGCGAACCAAACTCTAACATGCAATAAGACCATTGTTTTATATTCTTGGATCAACAATCTGAGCTGCGGTCATTTTCAAATTATGTAAATAAAGATCAATTAAAGGTGGGGTAGGTCATTTTGGAGAAACCAGCTCGAGTGCGCTCGAATTTGAAAATACACAGCCGGAAAAAATCTCCCACTTCCTTACAGAGCCCCTCCTCCAACACACACGAACGCGCACATGACCAATGAGGGCACGAGATAAATTTGTGCACAGATGGAAGGCTGACAGGCAGGTAGGCCATCCAGTTACTTTAGCCGGGCCGGCTAAAATGATTGGTCATGCTTTTTACAGTAGGCTACTACGGCTTCCACAGATGACAATTTTTAATGGATTTTTTGTCAAAGCACTTAAAATATTCATTGCTATCGGGATGTTAAGAGCATTCCATGGAATATAACAAAAAGTGTATCTCGAGCCGGTTTCTCAAACTTACCTACCCCACCTTTAATTTCATATTTCTATTTGATGCATGTGAATTACAAATAAATGACGTCAAGTGCATATTGTGGTCTATGGCGTTAATAGAAGAAAAAAGTGGTGGGCCAACAACAACAACTTGGACGGGTGCAAAACATGAAGATGAAACACTTTGACAGAATGCACAACATCACATTTACATTTACAGATAAACACAGGTGATAATCCGACTGAGCACCTACCTGTTCTCCTCACTCTGTCCATTTGGGTAGTGGTCATCGTCATCCGCAAAGAAGCCTGAAAGCCTCATGGCCATGTTGCTAGCTCTTATCTGACAAGCTTGCACTTAACATTAGGGATTCCTCCTGGAAAACGTATCTTTCTTAATAATATTATTACCGGGATATAAGGCTTCCAGTGTGTGCCTTAAATTAAAAGACATTCCACATGGTTCACCACAGTTCCTCAACTTTTTTACATGAAATACAACTTCTGCTAAGCCTACATATCGATGAAAACAACAGTAGTTTGCAAACAGCCAATCAAAATCGCAGTAGGGCAAAAGGAAATCAAGAAGACCCACCTGGCTTCAAATTATGCCACCCGCTTTTCTTTTGCGCATGCGTATTGTTGATTTCCAATTTGTATTTGTGTTATATGTCAAGCTTTATCCAGATATTTGTACTGTCTAAATTGCTCAGTAGCCTGCCACTAAAACATAATTGTTTGCAGCCAGCAGATGGGGCTGTGCACCTTGTTTGGTTTTATCTCTCTGGGTCTAAATGTGGTATTCTTTCAATGTGTTTTGCTTTGTGTTTTAAAGATATGGAAAGTACTTTGAGGGTTACAGTGCTGTAATTATTGAAAACTTGTTTCACATCTGTAACGTAACCTTCAAAGCTTTTGTCAAAACATAGGCTATATGTGACTGTTGAATTATCAAATCATTACCTGTGGTTATGGTTTAAATGGCAATATATTCACTTCAATGTTAAACCATGGGTATGGAATGATGACAATTAAACAGTCAAGTTGAAATGTATGAGTTTATTTGTCCCTGGCTCGTCCAGCCTCCAGTATTTACACAATTTGTATGATGATTGTTCTGCGACACTAGCTAGATATTAAGCCAAGGGGTCAACTTATTAACCGCTCAAAAATATTTAAAAGGTGCACAATACACAAATGTAGAAGATAAATGTGTCATAATTCTTTGTAGCAGGTTTATGTCTAACAAACTAAAAAGAAGGAATTATCTGTAACAATCTATTCATACAGTCATCAGGTAACACCGAAAATACTCCTACTAATAGCACTGGAGAAAAAAAGGTTAATTCACAATTCATGTATTCGCAATGCCTCGTGATTGAAGTCTTATTCAGAAAATATTCAATACATCAAAACAGAAAGTACATTGTTAATAAACTGAATATTTGTGAATACTAACGCAGAACTGCTCTTCAAACAACATTTTAAGATTGAGATAAAACACTGTCTGATGCCATGGTAAAAAACAAACATTTTCCAACTTCACAAAGTCTGGTCAAACTAAATTCTTAGGAAAGGTGTACATTATATTTTTAGCATAGATTTTCCAATTACTATTATGAGATGTATGTAGTGCTCCAGCACACAATGAAATAATTCCATACAATCCCACACTGAGTGAAATAAACAAATGTGCTCAAATTTACTTACATCATTTTCAATGGGGATAAGCCCACATTTTTTCAAGCCACAACTAAAAATGAAACTAAATCTGCAACAACATCAATTGTGTCAATTAGCCATATAAAACTCTGGCTTATGTAGTCAGTATTAGTAAGGAGAGAAAAAATAACATTTAAAGTAACAGTAACATACAAAGCATGTCGATAAATAATTGGATTCCCCTTGAAGTGCCACACCCACCCAAACCACATCATCAGTGTTGGCTACTTTATCATGAATTGTGCGAAGTGTGTGTATGAGCTTAAACTACTACAGCTAAAATCTACTGTGGACATGTCCGGTGATGCTCCTGTTGATTTATTGAGTGCGTGGTTGGCTCATGCATAGCTGTTGGTGGTGACCAGCAGCTCGTACGCTGGGTCATGACTCCTCCTGCACAGCACCACGCAGGCACAGAGCATGCCCAGCATCTGCAGGCAGACGGCAAGAAAACAAGAGAAAATATGTTAGTTTGAATCCTTATGCCCTCCAACATGACAGGAAAATAATTCAGAAATGTAAAAAAAAAACTAATGATCAGCTATTCACACAGTGAAATCACACAGCGTAAGCAAATAATGTGAAAAACAATAATCCATGCGCACATACAGCATGCATGTTGTGCTTTAATGAGTATGTTTGAGTGTAATATTAAGTGATCGGCCATGCTGTTTTAGTTTCCTGGTCAGCAGTGACCATGCTGAGCTGTTGAACATAGTCAATATCCTTTGACTCAATTAGGTCAGGGCTACTGTAAGCTCAGTTTGTGCTGATAGAGATAACTTCGGAGTTAATTATGCGGCCAATACATAATTTAATTTAAATACAATCATAGAATAAGATGTGTATGTGTTTTCTTTTGCAGGGAGGTAGGTGTTTGTTGAGAATGAATTACCGTAACAGCGAAGTACACATACTGGCTTTGGTCTTTACTTACTCTAGGATTACCATCACATTTCCCCCACAAGCAACATACGCAACATCAGCTATCAGACAATGGTACAAGTTCATACATATTTGGTTATGTATTTCAATGTTCACCTTTGTATTCACCTTAAAATAAGGGATTTCAGGTGACTCTTGTCCTGCTTACCTGTATAGATGCGAAAGTGAGTGAAGCCCATATGACATACATCATGATCTCCTTTAACTTCTTCACAACGAGAGCTTCACAACCCTGCGGCAGAAAATAAATGATATTAAAAGACTGCATAAAGTGCATAGCAATATTTCTTACAACAAAAAAGTACTAGGCAATAATGTCAATACCTTTTATGTTTCAGCCACAGAAGAAAATACCCATTATTCATTAAATTGTGCTGGAAATAAATCTAATGTTTCTTTCGCATTTACAAATGTTAAATCTGGCCTCACCACAACCTCTGCTGCTGGCGCTAGGTTGAGCAGCATGGAGGTATACTCCAGGAAAAATAAGGAAATCCCATTTTGACTAGAGAGAATCTTTAAGGTGTGTTTTGTGGTTTTAGCTAGTAAAGCCCTGAACTTAAGCCCCTAATTCGTACCTCTTGGTAGAGATCTGCTGGTCGAGTGAGAGTGCCAGTACAGTTAGTGATGCTGGGCAGACAGCAGCTGACCGGGACGCTGTTGTTCTTAGATTCTTTAAACCAGTGTGTGTTCCTCCAGTCAGAGTAGTTATGAATGCCGCAGCAGTGAAGCTAACAGGAGAATAGAGAAGAATAAAGGGGGGATAAAACAGTCAGGAGTTGATTAGGAACACTCATTTATTTCACGTTCTGAAACATGCAAACATCAAAACATACACGCTTAAAAATGCATAAAATTACAATCTTATTCAGCTCAAATTAGTCAATATGTCAAAATGACCGTTATCATTTGAATTTGTATCTGACTTTTTTTTTTCACAACAGGCTTTTCTTCTCACCTGCCTCTGCACATAGTCAATAGCACGGCTGGGAGCATCAGTGTTGGTGCCGTTGTATTCGTTGTAAACCTTCTGGATGGAGTGATTGACCTGATTTTCAACCTGAAACAGAGGCACAGCAGTGGTTACTGCCCCTGCTCAGTGACTGCAATTTCCCTTTGTTTTCTCCAAGGCACAGTTTGTCACATTAATATAAAACTAATTTAAAATGTAGGCCCTAAGGCAACACTATTAACCGAAGGGATTTGTAAACATGAGAGCGGCGAAACATTAATTAAGCCTAGAAAATCTGGTTTGTTAACAAAAACAAGATGTAACAATATTGAGTTTTGCTTAATGTTTCCATCTATATTTATCTCATCTCTCACTGGGGACAAGTAGCAGACACACAACATACAATATCAATATAAAGTATAGAGGTAAATTCTGAACTTTAACAACATCTGAAGTGCTGCAAACAGAAAAACACTTTTATTTCAATTGAATAAAATACTTCTGTTTTCCAACGAGACAGTGTTTACCTTCGCCCTGTATATGTAGCCAAGCACCACCACCACACACTCTGTTACAAATACCAGCAGGAGAATGGCAGCAAACTGAAATGACAATAAAGACACATAGTTAGGAGTTTCATTAGGAAGGTGAATCAGAAGTCAAATGAATATTTGACATTGCTTTTAGGGCGATTATACCAAAAAAACAATCTAAAATCGTAACTTTTTTGTATTCGATAGGTTGATTGTGTATTTTCCCCCGGCACTCAGTATATTTTAAGGGGTGCAGTTCAAAGCAGTGAACACTCACAGTTGCCAGACCACAGGAGCTTTCACGTATTGTTGCGCAGCAGCCAATCAAGCCGATGATGAAGAGCAGAGTCCCGACGGCTATTATTATGATAGCAGGAATCAAAGTGTACACATCTTCAAAGAAGTGGTCATAGTCGTCATATGTGATGAACACATAGGCTCCAATGTAGCACAAAATACCGGCTGCAGCCTGCAGAGAGAAACAGAGACACGGTGAGAGGAATAAGTACTTCAAAATCTAGCTTCTCCTTTTTTATCTGAGTCCCCCCATTTTTCTTATTTTGTTCTATGGGTCTCACATGACAATTGGATTTGATTGTTTGACTATATATATTTGTATTCAGAATTTGTTTGTGATTGTTTGTTTTTCTTTCATTATAAGACAACACTGCATTAGCTAGTGTATCATAGTGTATTTTGTTGGATGCTTGAACCAGATCCAAGACACTGGTACCATCCTACATCTAAGACATGGATACACTATACAAACCAGCCTGTCAACTATGCTCCACATTATCATTAGGACAGCCGAAACTCTACACATCTTCAGAATCAGAAACCAGAATCAGAGTTTATTACCAAGTAATACACATACGAGGAATTTGTCTTGGTGTTGTTGGTGCATACATAAACATACATGCATAAAAATGAAACAGATCTATTGCAGACTGAAAATGAATCTGCTCAGACTGCACCTGGGCCCTTTAGCTATCTCCTATTGTGTAGCAATTGAAGCAGTTCAGCATGTTTGCAGAAGTTTATGTATTTAAGTTGATGCATTGTATATTTTTTAGGTTGTACGCACATGGAGGAATTCTTTCTTTGTACGTAGCTTTGGACAAAAGCTCAAATAATGTTAAAGTATTGTTGTAAAGTGTTGGATTTTGAACAACATCTCTTGCTTAGATTCAAAAACTTGCATTGTAAACATGGTACAGCCTTTTGTTTTTGCAATGCTGTATGTAACTATGGTCATTGCATTAAAGCTAATTTCAAGACAATGAGAGTAAGGTATAAAAGGCAGGTGATAACAAAAACTCCTTAAATTGCATATTATGCAATATTTCTTATAAACTACTATTTATATAGTGAAGAATAAGAACAGCAAACACATACAAAACATGTAAAGAGACTGGTGCAATGTGGCCTGGGCCGCTTGTTGATTATGTATTCCTCCTGGGAGATAGTTTAACGTGTTCCTTTTTAAAATATATATCACACCTTTTTTTTACACCTCCATTTATCCTTCCCGTTTTCAACATTGACGCATATCTTAATCCAACTCTGGATATAAAACTACATATTGCAATCAATATCTCAGACAGCAGATTAACTCTCTGCTGCATCACGTCATAGCTTCAATTTGTGGGCGGCAGCTACCGACACACTGTGTAGCTATCTACTGCACAAAACCCTCTCCAATTAGAGCCCCTCACAGAAAATGCTAGTGACACTTTTTCCGTGGATATTTTGGCTCAAAAAGCAGCTGGACTGACGCTAAACTGTACACTGCAGCGCATCTCTGGCGCAGTTTGCTAGCTCGCTAATGCTCTCCATCCATGGCCTCACTGAGGATGCTGCACTTTGTTCAAACATCCATCATTTTCTTACCCAAAATATGAGATTAAGAAAAACCAAGACGGTTTTGGATGACGTAATTCCACACTGCCCCATGGTAACTTGAGCTTTAAAAAAAACTAACTATAAAAAATATATTTAGTGATGCACCTGCACCTTTGCTGTTATATTAATAAAATGGCTTCGATGGTCCTGCCCCACTTTACAGATTATTTCCTGCTCGACCAATGAAATAGTCGCAAAGACAAAAAGGTCACATGGTCTGATGACATCACCATTCAAAACAAAGTGTGATGGAGGACATTTGAACATTATTTAACATTTAGCATTATACATTACATTCATTGTGAATAGTGCAGCTTGTGTTTTTAAAGGTCATTAGTATTTTAGTGTGTGTTTATGTACAACAGAAGTCCAAGGCATATCAGTGCTTTATGCTTTTCTACACATCCACCATTAAGTTATGCTGTAGGCTACAACATAAAATAAGTTTAACATATACTAAATTGTTCCCAAATGGGATTGTTGTAGTATAGTTAATCACATACAAGGCCATCAAGACCTTAGAGTGGTACAGAAAATATGCATTAAACAAATAGTTAATATGACACATTAATATTTACTTTAGCTTTACTGGTTCACCACAGAATATTATTATTATTTTATTTGTTTAAGTTGCTTGATTATATGCGGTGCTATCACCCTTATTCAGTGTTTTCTGTCATATCTATGAGTTTAGTGTTGTTGTTTTCCACAGTTAACTTGGTCTAAGAAGAGTTGCAGCTTTTGCTGAGGCTGGTTCATGGTTTGTTTGAAATTTGATTATTTACAGCATAATTTCACCCCCTCACAACACACACCTATTAAGGACACAGACAGGCAGCATCAGATAAGACATAATGTTCTTTACCAGAGGGTGGCAGTGTAGCATCGCTCGTTTTCACTGGCATGCAATGTGTAAGAGGATGATGTATCAAGTGTGGTCAGTTGGTAAAAGCACATAACCATCACGTTAATTAAAAACAGAAATAGTAATAATATGGCATTGCATTGCAACCACACAAAAATGAAAGAATGTAAGGGGCACATTTGACCCTGCTTTCTATAGTTAACTCTATGGGACCTGTGTCTCTCGTATGAGGTTGTGATAAATTGCTCAATTGAAAATTAGCACCTTTGGGGCAGTCAATAAATAATGATTTGAACTGGTGCCCAAAGCTTTGGTTTTTATTGAGTCAAAGCTTGCAACCTTTGTCACTGTCAGCTTTTGCTGTTAAGCCCGAGCACCTCAAGTAAATGCTAAAGCTACAACGTTGACACAACATACATCCACTCTCTGAATTATGCATCAATTTCACCTGTTGGCTATACATCAAGTCATTATTAAAACATAGTATTAGTAAACAAAGAAACAAGCACATATGCAGGGAAACAAAGGCAGGATAGAAACAGTTTCAAAGGATTAGACGACTTTGAGTCATATATACAAAATGAACCACTGATGGTTAATGTTGTGACAAAGTATGGCTACATCTACCCAAATAACAAAAGGGCTTGGTTGTTTTTACACATTTATCTTATCTTTTACATGTCAAAACATGACACTTATTTGAATATAATTTGCATTGACAGGATATACTTGAATGATAAACAGAGGGATGTCCTACTGTCTGTTCTGCTGTTCTCAAATTAAAATGCCCTCACAGGACATATGAACCACATTTACAAGCAATGCTTTGATTAATGAAAGACAAGACATGTCCAAGAAACCCCTTGTAAAAACAAATCATTGTAAATCATGCTATATGATTTATTTCATTTTTTTCTTTTGGGGGGGGAGGGTTCCAGATCTCTGTCCAGGGCGCTCTGTAGTAAATGTGTCACACGGGAGCAGTTCATGATAACAGACCATTATTTGGAGGATATTGCAGCTATCGCCAAAATGCCAGATGGCCAATTCAAGATGAGGAAATAAGCTGTCCAGTGTCATCGTCGCTGTGGGTTCTTTTCATTGAGCACCAGCATTGATAATACTGATTCCCACAAGATAAATATTACCTTAAAATGAATGAAAGTGTCCTCTTGAATGATCAGCTGTTTATATTGTTGATGGATACAAGTCAATGTTTAGTGAAATGTTTTTTACAAGAACTTTCTCTTGGAATTCTCAACTCACTGCCTCAAAAAGTCCTTCTACTCTTCTTATCTTTATCCACCAATGTCTTACCGATACAGATTTATTTATAGGGAATAAATGAAAATGATTCATTCCTACCAAAAAGAAAAAAACTAAAGAATATGCAGGAATAACATTTCATTTTCCTGGTATTTAAAATTAAATGTTTACCTTTGCCAAGCATCACCATGCCTGTGAATTGTAAAATGCATATATTGTGTAGGTCGACAGAAAGAGGGATTACAGGATAAATCTAAGCGTCTTAAAAGAACAGAGCGTTTATTTGCGCAATAGGGAACATTCAAGGTAAACAGAAAGCACAGAGCTGCTGAATTGAATCGCTCATTTCCCCAGGAGTGAAGAAGCGTACGTCAAGGGAGATCTGTGACACAGTCAAAGTGTGAGAAGTCATCATCATCCTCAACCATTTACACTCTGCAACATGTTTGGATCTGCAATTTTAAGTCATAAGAGGATAGTTGTATTCACTAATTCACACACACACCCACAAACTAATTATTGTATCAACACATATGCAACAGATTATCATGCAGCTGCCTGACATTTCAAGTTAATTAATTAAAGACATGATTGCATTTGAAGATGACATTTCTTTCAGTACTCAAATACGTAGTACATCTTGTGTATGTGATAGCAGTACAAATAATAATCTATGTCAGTGTGATCCTTAACTTTTGCTTTTTTAAAGTATTTTCATTGCAAAGATCAAGGAAAAGATTAAACTCATTATCAAAAAAGAACATTTTGACCAAAAGTAACACCAAAGACCATGCTGGAGAGTTTCCCTCTCCTCATCAAAGCTTTGGAGGCAAGTTTAAGTGCTTTTTCTTTTCTGGGAACACAATTTTCTAGCATATTAAACTATTTGTGTACAATATTCTGCGACCAAAAGTTGCTGCAATTCAACGTTTTTAAGTGGCGAAATAACAGTATCGTAAGATGTGTATTTATAAAGAAAAAAAACTTTTCTTCTCCACTGACTCCGATTCAAAGTGAAAAACTCTGCACAAAGCCTTAAATTACATATTTGGTGAGGTGCAAGATTGAGAGCGAACTTTAGAAATACCAACATTGAAATCAACTATGGTGATTTTGGGTGACTGTGCTGAACTCAGTTAATGATATTCAAAAGTTGTAATCAACAAAAGTGTTGGACACATTTTAGAAGCTCCTAGAGCAATGCAATACTGTTCAACAGTACCAGTTCTCCAAGATGACTAAGTTAAATCAATGCCTTGAAGGTTTGTCCAGAAATGCAACAGTTTAACCTCCATGAGGGATGGATTGGTTGTTGTTTTATTAAAAATGTTATTATACATAAAACTGTAGTCTACATAATAAACTGGCAATTGAGTAATTTATAGGGCCAAATATGTTGAGTTATAGAAATCAAGACTATAAAACTCAGTACTCTCTGTTTGTGTGTCCGCCCACCACTCACTACTCTGAACAAAGAACATATTCCTCATCTTGAAGCTGACGTAAAGCATCAGACAACGCATTGTGGGAGAGATATTAAAAAAGCCTATACCAGAATGAACAATGGATCAGCCGAAGGCAAGGACTGGTCCATCTCGCCTCACCACTATTGATCGAGAGAACAGATCATCCCTTTATGCAAAGGACAGGAGAGGTACAAAAGATGATATCGATTCCATGTATTCAGGAATCTAAAAAAATGATATAAGCTGCCTACATTTGTATTTATGTAAGTGTTATTTTGTGTTAAAACCGATCTTACTCATGCTGAACAATGAGTTGTTGTTGGGCCTATAAATAAGGGATGTGAAGGTCGCATGTACCAGAAAAAAAGAAGCTGGAAAACTCCATTTAAAAGTTTTAACAGTCATTTTAACAGTGTTCTGGTATTTTTTAACCCATTAAATATAATTTGTAATGTTTTTGTTCAGCCCTTAATGAGATACAAGCTCTCATTGAAGAGGCTTTTAGACCATGGATATATCCCATAACATATTTTCTATAATGTTCATTGTTGATCACCAATATTTCAATAAACAAATAGCAGAAACCCAGTGCCATAATGAAGTAATGATGTGCTTATAGGATTTCAGTGAATCAAACCTGATTCTGCAGCAGATCAAACTCAGAGCAGTGCAAATAATTATTTTATTTAATATAAATACTTTTAAGACAAGACAATGTCAAATATCATCATCAAAATAAATGGAAAAAAACCTTTACGTGCATTTCAGATGGCACACGAACAGTATGACAGTAACAGGTAATTACAATCATGATGAGCAAGAGACAGTAAACTGTGTCTAATGTATTTATTTTAACCCATGAGGCCAGGTGACCTCGGATCCGTGTTCATGCGAGCCTGACATCCTCTGTATCACTTTCTGCTTTGGATGTAGCTTTCTATAATCTTCATCAACACGTCCTCCTGAAACAGAGAACACGAGGAACAGTTTTAATTCAGATTCTTAGTCATTTTGTGCGCCAGAAAACGTCTGGTAAGTAGTGGTGCTCACCGGATCTTTCGTGCTTCTCTCTTTTGTATCCACCTGTTCTTGCACCGCCACCCGCAGGAACTGGTGGAAAAGCTCCGTGAGGGTGCTCTGCTCAGCGGGCAGAGAGACTTCCAGAGCATCAACCCCCTGCCTCTCCACTGAGGGCAGCAGGGGGGGATCCATCACGCTCTTCTTCCCCATGAAATGACCTGTCAAATCAAAGAAGACGCTCGTTAACATAGAATTAATCAAAATAATTAAGAATTAAAATAAGTCAGACTTGGCGAGGTGGAAATCCTTTAGGGACAAAATGAACATTGTTAGAGCAAAAATAATGTGATCATGTTAAAAGATGTAACGTATTGCACATGGAAAATATGTTAAAATGCATACATTTAATGTATTTCTATACACAAATGACTGATTGGTCAATAGTTGTTATAGATGATGATTCTTACCTGTAGCCCAAAGATTCCCTCTTGGATTCACTTTG